AATAAAATTAAAGGCAAAAAGGGGGAATATTTCAAGAGATACCATTGAAATCAAAAAGTTTGAGGCCAGCCTGGGCAACTTAGTGATACCCTATCTCAAAATAAAACAAAAGGAAAGGTGTAGTTCAGTGGTAGAGTGATTCCCTAGCACACACAGGACCCTTGGTTCAAGCTCCAATACCACAGAAAAATAAAAATAAATAACCATATTACTAAAAGTGATCCATAGATTCAATGCAATGCAGTCTTACTGATTACTAGTGATATTCTTCACAGAACTAGAAAACAACAGTCCTAAGATTCATAGGAAGAGCAAAAGATATAAAAAGATATAGATAGCCAAAGCAATTCTGAGTAAAAAGAACAATGCTAGAGGTATGACAACACCTTATTTCAAATTAAACTACAGAACTATGGTAATAAAAACATCAAGGTACTAGCATTAAAAAAAAAAAGACACATAGAATAGAATAGAAGTCACATCAATGGAATAGAATAGAAGTCACACCAACAACCTAACACAAATACAGTCATCTGATTCCTTACAAATGTGCCAAAACATACATTGGAGAAAAGACAGCCTCTTAAATAAATGGTGCTGAGAAAACGGAATATCCATGTATAGAAGAATGAAACTAGATCCCTCTCTCTCACCCTGCACAAATGTCAACTCAGAATGGAGACCTAAGACAAAGATCATAAACTTTGCAACTGCTAGAAGAAAATAGGGAAATATAGGCACAGGCAACAGCTTCCTCAATAGGAACACCTATAACTTAGGTGTTATATAATGCCAGGAATTAATGGTTTTAGCAGGATGGCATCAAGTGTAAAAGCTTCTACACAGCAAAGGAAATAATTACCAGCATGAAGAGAGAGCCTGCAGAATGGAAGAAAATCTTTGCTAGCAACAACAGAGGATTAATATCCAGAATATATAAAGAACTCAAAAACCTTAATATCAAAAGAACAAATAGCCCCAATTCAATAAATGGGAAAATGAACTAAAGAGACTCTTCTCAAAATAAGTATAAATGGCCACTAAATATATGAAAAAATGTTAGATACCTTTAGTTATAAGGGAAATACATATCAAAGCTACACTGAGATTCCATCTCCAATCAGAATGCCAATCATCAAGAACACAAATAACAAAATGCCAGTGGGAATGAGGGAGGAAAAGAACCCTCATACATTGTTGGTGTGAATGTAAATGAGTATAACCACTATGGAAATCAGTATGGAGGCCCCTCAGAAAACAAAACCACCATATGGTCCAGCTATCACACTCCCTGGATGTATTCAAAAGAATTAAAGACGGGCTGGGAATGTGGCTCAAGCAGTAACACGCTCGCCTGGCATGCGCGGGGTGCTGGGTTCGATCCTCAGCACCACATAAAATAAAATTAAGATGTTATGTCCACCGAAAACTGAAAAATAAATATTTTTTAAAAATTATCTTTCTCTCTCTCTCTCTTTAAAAAAAAAAAGAATTAAAAACACTTACTTTAGAGATACATGCATTGCCATGTTTTTAGCAGTACAGTTCACAAGGGCCACATTATGAATCCAGCCTAGGTGTTGTCAACAGATGCACGGGTAAAGAAAAGGTGGTATATATACACAATGGAGTTCCATTCAGCCATAAGGAAGGAATGAAATTTATCATTTGCAGGGAAATGGGTGGAACCGGAGAGCACCATGCTAAGTGTAATAAGCCAGATTCAGAAAGACAAGAGTCATGTTTTCTCTCAAAAGTGGAAGCTAGAAAGAAAAAAAAGGGGGGGGGGATCTTGTGAGAGCAGAAGGGAGACTATTAGGGCAGAGGAAAGGGATCCGGAGACTAGAGGAAGGGATGGCAAGGGGAAGTACCAGAGTGAAATTGGTCAAATTGTGTCACGTGCATATATGAATATGCCAGAATGAAACTCACTATTCTGTATAATTATTATGTACCAATAAAAAAATCAATAATTTACAGAATGTTTAAATCTGCGTAGTGAATGCACATAATATGTTTGAAAAAAGTTAAAGAAAAGTAGATGTTAAATTCCAAAATTGAATATAGATACATAGGTAAAGAATAGATGCCACCCTTCTCTGGGATTATGTCTATGTAGCGAGATTTTTATTTTTATATTTTTCTGTATTTTCCATACTTTCTACGACAAATGATGTGTGGAAATATTTACGTTTTAAGAAAAATTACAGGGGCGGTCAACTGGGGAAGGACTGTGATGAGCCTTGAATGTCATTCTGAGGGTGTTTTTCTGGGGAAGGTTTGCTCAGCCTCTGGGGGATTAGAGCACAGGGCCTCATACTGCCTGTGGCCTAGAAACTGTTTGTGGGGAAGAGTTCTCCGCCATTCTGTGCTGGTTCTTATTTGAGAGAAGTTTCCTGAGTTTATGATCTTATTTCAGATAATACAATGTGAGACCTGGTGGCAGCCCAAGAGATGTGCCAAAGCTCTGTGTGATCTTTGTTCTTGCAATGTTTATCAGAACCTTCAGCTATATTTAGAATGTGCTAGATGATACAGGTGCATTATTTAATCGGATCCTACCACAACCTCATAAGGAAACTGAGACCTCGAGAAGCAGTGCAGTCACATGGTGCTGGGTTAGGATTGATTCCAGATCTGCGTGATTCTAGAATTCCAGCATTCTGAACCACTCTGCTCTATGTTCTCTTAGTATTCTCACACCTGGCTTGAGTACTCACTTGGACACGGAAGCACCAGGTGATAGTTTCTTCAGCCCCCACAGTCTCAGTTTCCTTGCTTATGATAAACTTTGCCTCCCAGTGCTGTTGAGAGGAACCCAGATCAGACCCTTAAGAGAAGTTTCCTGAGCTTAGTATCTTATTTCAAACCTGAGTTAAACTACCAGATCTCCTCACCTCACTGAACAAAGTGGGGAAGCAGATGCCCTGGGGCAGGGGATGGGGAGGTGGTACTTGTCCTCATTTGTAGAAGAGCCAGGACTTGGATCCAGGTATTCCTCCCCCTGTAAAAACGCTCTCCAGGTTCAACATAAGCAGTGGTTGCAACAGGGAAGGGACAACCTCTGGACAACTCTTCCTCCAACCTAGGGTGGGGAGGCTGGCTCCTGTCACTTCCCCAGATTCCTGTGCTGACAGCCTCTCTGGCTGGTGCCTGGGCCAGCCTCTGCTTCCCCGGGAAGAGAGGGTGGAGTTTTCAGGGAGCTGCACAGTCAGACCCGCCCAACCAGAGCAGAGGAGGCAGCCAGGGCCTGGGGGAGGCGCCAGGCCTAGCTCAGTGGGCCCTGCCTGGTACTAGGGGAGGAGCACACAGTCCTGGAAGCTTCCCCTGATTACCATCCCTCCTCAGTCAGAAGTATGCTCCTCCCCACACCCCCCCCCACCCCCCAGCAGTGTTGCAGTGGGCCTGACGGTCATGAAATTTCTAATAATTTTTATTCTAATCTCTACCTTTTACAAATCTGTTACCATGGTTGAAAAGTAATGTTTTTCTTTTATCGTGATCATTCACAATGGAATATTTCTGTAATGTTTTCATGGACTGCCTTTTTAAAGTGTTTCTTAAAACAGGGTCGAGAATATCTCCCTCCCTTTTCTTTTTAGACTGTCTTGAAAAGCTACAATAGGGCTCACACACATACCCCTCCGACGCCCCCATCTTGGTCCAGTGACCAGAGCCAGACCCTGACCAACTTTTCCCTTGTCTTGGCTGAAAGGAATGATTTAAAAGTGTGTGTGTGTGTGTGAGAGAGAGAGAGAGAGAGAGAGAGAGATCTTAAGACAGCATCATTTCCCCTTCCCCTACCCTGGAAGAATTATTCTCAATTTTCTCTTATTGTGTTTTGGAAGGTTAAAATGCCCTTCATTTTATAAAATGATAGTGACAATCTACAAATAATTTCTTTCAATCCTTGCTTGCCAACCCCTGTCAACTCTCCCATTTAAAAACTGCTTGGGGGCTGGGGGTGTGGCTCAACCGGTGGCGTTCGCCGAAAACTAAAAATAAATATTAAAATTCTCTCCCTCTCTCTCTCTCTCTCTTAAAAAAAAAAAAACTGCTTGGATTGGGGTGGAGCTCAGTGGTAGAGTGCTTCCCTTTCATGTACAAGGCCCAGGGTTCCATCCTCAGTACTGGAAGAAAGAAAAAAAAAAAAAACTCATTCATGCCATCTGGGCCGCACTGGCACTGCAGTGTGATGTAGAGAACCCTTTTGCATCAAGAACTTCTTGATCTCAGATTCAGCCTCCAATTGCCAAGGGTGGCTAAAGTGTCTACTAGGTGAGGCTCAGACACTGGGACCTGCCAGCTGTCTCCTAAGCCACCTTGACCAAGTCATAACCTCACTCAGTCTCGGCCTCTCGTTTTTAAATTGGTGATATTCATACCCTTATGTTCTAAAAATTAAGAGAGGATAGGCAAGACAGCACAGCTTCCTGAGTATCATATCTCACTCCCACACAGCAAGGTAAGTAGGATGCTCCCCATTTCATAGTGGCAGAAGCAGCCCCTTTGGATGGAGAATAAGCACAGGGTGTGGGTGTCTGATGCTCTGCCTACAATACCACATCACTCTGAAGGGAACTTGGATAGCAGCTGAAGTAGCCACAGACCCTGAGAGGATTGGAAGTTTTAGGACACCTTAAGACAATAGCTAGGAAACGGTAACAGCCAAATCCCAGGAGAGGGAGGACATGGGCAAGGCTGTGCCTCAGGACAGCAGCAGGATCCAGGCTGCAAGAATGAGGGAAGGTCAACCAGCATTCTCACGGAGGGCTGCCTGGGCAATGATGAGAAATCACACCCCAGAAACCCCTCCCGGGGCCAAGGGAGCACCACCTGAGGTTTGTGAGGAAGGAAGGAGCCTAAATGGACCAGGCATGGGCAGGGTCTACTGTAATTAGGATCCTGTCCTGTCCCTGAAAGACTCTCACTGCTGTATCCATCCTCACATTGACCTCCCACTCAAGACCCTCAGCACAGTGTCATCTCATTTCTTCCAGAGGCACCAAGAACCAGATCATCCACCCAAACCAGAACCACAAGAATTGGATCTCCTTAATAAGGACACAGGTGAGTCGCCAGCCCCATAAATGCTCCCACTGACACTCATGAGTTATCTACCTTATAATCAACAAAGCCGATCAAGCTATTTAAATAGCCCATGAGATCCTTGGTAGGTGATGTTAACAGGAGTATCCATCTAAAATCAGGGAGTGATAATTCTGATCTGTGTTTTCCTGTCCTTAATTGTTGGAACCACACCTAGCATGCTATGTGCATTTCTGGAAAATAAATTTTCAGAGGGATTCAGGTAAATTGGAGGGACTATAGTGGAGCAAAATTAGGCTGGTAAAGAATCTGGAAAATATGTCTTGTAAGGAACAGTTGAAGAAACCCAGAACATTCCACCCTTAAAGAAAACAATAGTTTTCCCAGTTGTCAGAAGTGCCCTGATAGAGAAGAAAGATAAGCTTTGTTTAGTGTGAGCAGAGGTCAGCACTGAGCCTCGAGACTGTAACATCATGCACAACAAAATCAGCCCAGTGTCAAAGAATTGTTTGTGTGGTTGTTGGTTTAAAACCCTCAGAGCTACCTGGTAATCCGATGAGCTCCCCATCTCTGAGGTGTTTAATTACAGCGTGGAGGTTGTTGGTGATACTGTGGATGAAGTTTGAGTACCAGATACACCATTGGACCAGACTTCAGAGGTTTTACGATCTGACTCTATAAAAATAAGCTGGAGAACATCAAAGAGAAAGATTCTGTGCACTCCCCACAAATGAATCAGAATCTTGGGGCTTGGAGCTGAAGAATCTTTAGTTTTAATAAGAGTATTTTTTTAAACTAAGTTTCTCTCCAGCTGGGGCCTGTCTAAGATTGAGCTCATGAACCAACATATGAGCCAGATGTTTCGAGGGAGTCTGAACTATTTGACCTTGACCATAGATTTCAGCTAACCCCTGTCTGTCTGCTCATGGTCCTTGCGGCTCAGGTCTGAGGGTCACCAGCTCCTCCTTCTGCCCTATTGGATGTGACCACAGCATTCGCTTCCCCCTGGTCCTCACATTTCTAGGCCTGCACTTTGCCAGACCCTGCCTGTGAAGGCACAGTGTCACATGCCTATTATCCCAGCAGCTCCGGAGGCTGAGGAAGATCGTGAGTTCAAAGCCAGCCTCAGCAACTGCGAGGCACTGAGCAATTCAGTGAGACCCCTATCCCTAAATAAAATACAAAAATAGAGCTGGGGATGTGGCTCAGTGGTCGAGTCCCCCTGAGTTCAATCCCTGGTACCCAAAAATAAAAAAAGCAGTGCTAATAATATTAACACTGACAACTTCAAATGCTTGTCATGAGCACTGATGGGCATTTAGGGAAAACATCTAATGAACAATAAATAACATTCATTGATCACCTCCAAAGGGCCTGGCAATTACATTTTTGTGTGTCTCAGCAGGCACAATGTGGTTGTAGTAGAAGCATTTGTGGTGCAATCAGATTTTGCAGGTTTGGACCCCTGCTTCCCTGAATGTGAACTGGCTGGTGTTGGGCAAGCTGCATGACTTCCATATGCCTCAGTGTCCACTGTGTAAAGTGGGGACAATAATTGTATCCACTACATCGGTTGTCATGAGAATTAAGTGAGTCGTACCTGTGAGATGCTTGGGATAGGCTGGGTTTGGTCAGCTCTGGGACTCCTTACCTGCTTTTATTATTTGGGTAGCCACTGTTTTATGACTTAAGGATCTCAATAGCTCCATGAGGTAGTTACCATTGTTATCCTGATTTCGTGTATTGGGTAGCTGAGGCAGGTGGTGGGTTCTGCCTTAGGTCGTGGCCAGCCTGTTGGACTCCAAGTGGCATTAGCAGCACCTGTTTAGGAGTTTCCCTGAGCACAGGATAGGCTTCCTGGTTATACCTCCTTCCTGCTCAAAACTGGTCCACCTAGGGAGATGCCAAAGGTGGAGGGTCACACACTAAGATGCTCACAACCCCCAACAGGTAAACTGAATGACAAGGTAGCCCCTTACGTGCATCCTAAGTAGGGAAAGCTGAAGAACAGGGCAGGCTGCAGAGCCACAAGCTATCCAAAGGAAAGGACAGCCAACCTCGGCTCCAGCCCCCGACAGACATGAAGCCATGCATCGTCAGTTCTTTGGATTGTTCGGGGAAAGCTGGAGACGAGTATTATAAGAAAAAGCTTCCCAATTATTAAATCTTGGCAACTACTGATTTTCTACTTTAGGTATTAGTTGGAGCAAATGGAACACCTCTATGGGCCAAACTGTCCTGTGAGCTGTCATTATTATGGGGCAGATGACCACTGGCTGCTACTTTGAAGGAGGGTCTCCAAAGCCAGGCATCTTGAGGGGCTGCTGTGACTCCACTCTTGAGGTGGAAACTCTGGTTCTCATCATTTTGCCCCAGCTTTCCACACCTGCCCTGCTGGTCCTGACTCTCTCTACTTTGTGTGGACTTTTTTTTTTTTTTCTTCAGCTACAGCCACTGCTGTCCAGCCATGTGCATCTGAGGAGGCTAAGCAGCATCAGAAAGACATTACCAGAATTCTCCAGCAACACGAAGAGGAAAAGAAGAAATGGGCAGAACAGGTAAGTCCCAGGAACCCCAGCCCCACTCTTTCCTGCTCTAAATCCCAGGCCTACTTTTGGCATTTATCATTATAAGTGTCCTGTACTCTTTGCCAAGAAGGGAGTCCTCGGTCGCCTGAATACATGTTTATTTCAGCCACGACATGGCAGGCACATTGGCTACGGCAGTCAGAGCAGGCAGCTGCATTCACGAAGCTGACCATTAATTTGATGAGTCAAAGTCATTGGTGCTTCTGGATTATTTGCCCCTCTAGGACTGCCTCATGGTTGGACAGGGCCATTGAACTAGCTCTAGTCAATGAGTTGTGAAAGGATGAACCAGGCTGAGCATTTAACTGTGGGTTCAAGACCCTTGAGGTCTTTCTGTTTGACTAGTGGATGGAACTGGCATTGTTTGAAATTGTGGCTCTCCATGGACCTGATTCTTTCATGCTGATCCCTGGATAGCAGAGCACTGGACCACCCAACATGGACAGAGACATGTGAGAAGTCAACCTTTTCTTTTCATCAGTTACAACTTCGCCCTGGTTTGTTATGGCAGCATAATTTCTTCTCGGACTGAGACCAAAAGTCAGATATGAAACACACTCCCCAGAATCATTTTACTCCAATTATAACTGCTATGAAAAGTTTAGAGGGTTGTGAATGTACATAATAGAAGCACTTAACCAAGTCTGGGCATCAGACTTTAAAAATTATTTGAAGGGCTGAGGTTGTAGCATAGCGGTAGAGCACTTGCATAGCACATGTGAGGCACTGGGTTCAATCCTCAGCACCATATAAAAATAAATAAATAAAGGTATTGTGTCCATCTACAACTAAAAATATTGTTTAAAAAAATGATGCCAGGCCAAGCACAGTGCCACACACCTATAATCAGGAGGCTGAGACAGGAGGACACAAATTCAAGACCAGCCTCCATAACTTAGTGAGAACCTACCTCAAAATAAAAAAAATAAAAAGGGCTGGGGGTGTACCTGGGTTCAATCTCTGGTACCACAAGAAAAAAAAAAATGGAAATGAAACTTGAAGGATTTCCTAAATAATTACAGGCGTATAATAGTCAGATGTTAAGGTCACAAAAAATGAGGAAAGACTGAGGAACAATTCCAGGTTTAAAAAGACTGAAGAGATGTGACAACTCAATGCAACCACAGTCCAGGACTTCCCCTTCCTGGTTCCCATCTGGGCCACTAACCCTTCTCCTCTCTCTGCCTCAGTTTCCTCCTCAGTGGGAAGAAGTAGAGAAAGATCTTAGGATGGAGTATACATAAAGTTTTCTCTAAATCTCTCTACTGGTTATCTTTAATTATACATAGAAAACATGCCATGTACATACAAATCTTCCAAATTCTGAAACTTAAGTCTCTTTTTAAAAGTGGTTCTACATTTATGGACTAATTGCTCCATTAAATTATAAGATGATTTGTTTCTAAGAAATTTCCCTCTGGGCTCCACATTCATCCAGCAGACTCACTGGGGATGACCTCTGTGCAGGAAGGGGACTGCCCCAGGGAGTAGGAGAGGTATAGGGGGATCCAAGTCTGGAGCCTGTCCTGCAGGTGCTCCCTAGTTTGGGTGCAGTGAGCACTTGGTTTATGAAAGTGGATTCACTTACATGTCTATGGGTCTTTGGTTTGTTTTGGTAGAGTAACATCCTTAACCACAAGATTAGTAAGTGTCCCTAGGAATCATCAAGTTGGGTCTCCTCCTGATACACACAGTGAGCTAGTTAATGCCTGAGGGGAAAAGGATCTGGTCCTAAGGCACAGAGGAACTGTGGCAAGGCTGGGACTGGAAGCCCCTTTCAGCTAGGCCTTGCCTCAGGGTGTGTCCATCAGCTGTGCCCTTACAAAAGATAAACTGGAGAACATCTCAAGGACAGGACAGTGAGAATGGCCCAGAGTGTTCAAAGCCTGGAGAAGGGAAGCCTTGAGAACATGGCTATTGTGCTCAGATCTCTGAGGGGCTGCCTGGGCTCAGGAGCAGTCTGGTCGCGTGTAACCCCAGGTCTGGGACCTGATGGCAGAAGGTAGAGGTGACTTGTAACAGTAAGGCCTACCCATGGTCAGAGTATGTGGCCTGGAGAGTGAAGGAGCCCTCGCTTCATTATACCCAAGCTGAGGAAACAGCGAGCAGCTTCCCACATGGAGTGAGGATCAGGATTAGAAGCCTTCCAAGTCCGGTTTTTCCACCTAGATAATTCTCTGGGAATACTTTCTCAGCCCTAAAGAGGGCAAAATCTGCCCTGGCTCCAGCCCCGGAAGTCTTCTGCCTTCTCTTGCCGTCTTTTCCCACCTTTCCAAGGAGGGAGTGGGGCTCTGATCACCAGCTCCATACAGCTGCAGGATGTGAGCGGCTCAGAGATGCAGTGTGAACCCGCTGGGTCTCACTCCTGCCCGGGACCCTCTGTCCCCAGGTGGAGAAGGAGCGGACACTAGAGCTTCAGGAGAGGCTGGAAGAGCAGCGAAGAGTCCTGGAAGGAAAACACGAGGAGGCCTTGCAAGGTGAGGATGGAGACGGTCCAGTGGGGAGGTGGCTGGGAGGCAACGCGTGGTCGTGGCCACGCCCACTGCCTTCACCTGGGGCCGCGCACTGGCCCCCCTCTGCTCCTACCTAACAAGCAGTTAGGTTGTGGCAAAGCTGGAGTTTATGGGGTTCTTGGCCCTAAAGAGATAATGGAGTTTTCCTTTGGGGCGTGACTTTTAAAGCCTGGCATTATGCTTTATGCTTTACTTTGCCTTATTTGAGAGTTTTTTTTTTTTTTTTTCCTTTCCATTTTAAAAGTGATGCATATTCATTAAAGGAAATTTTAAAAACCTAGGCAAATAGGAGGTTTTTAAAACATCCATGTTACATTTCCACACTGATGACATTTCTTACAATTTATGGTTAGCTTGAGTATTTTTTATAAATAACTCTTCTTATATAACTAAATGTGATCATCACAGAAAATTTAGAATCTATGAATTAAATGTAAAGGTCTTAGAACATAGAGATTAAGCTCTTATTCTCCAGAACCAGGGTGCTGGGTTTGAATCCCAGCCAGCTCTACCACTTACCACCTGTGTAACCTTGAAAAAAAGTACTTCACCTTCCGCACAAGGTCTTTGTGAGAATTAAATGGTTTAATGATAGACACAGAATTTAAATTAGTGCAAGATACTTGGTAAGTACTTATGAGCACTTATTATTTTATTACTAAAAAATTAAAAATTTGATTTTTTTTCCAGAGCTAGCTGTTGTTATCTCTTTGAGACAGATCTCTTTCATTTATTTTGCTGTACAATTTTGCATAGAATATACATATATACACACACAGACTTGTATATCTGTTTTTTTCTTTCAATTGCATTAGCATCCTGTCGTTAAACTCTTCCATAAGTTTTAATAATTACATAGCATTCCAATTAATTCCCTTATTCACTTAATTGATTCCCTTTATAATATTCAGGTAATTTCCAAATTTTTGCCATTGTTTGTAATAGTAATGATACTTACACAGTGAACCTCATTTTGTAAAATCTTTGTAACCCCCTAGTAGAATTGGAGAGGAAAAGTGTGTGTGTGTGTGTGTGTGTGTGTGTGTGTGTGATGTTGGTAAAATAAACATAAGATTTACCATTACTGAATGCCATGCAAGCATCATGCTATCTAGTTCCAGAACATTCTTGTCACCCCAGAAGGGAACCCCACACCCACAAGCCCATTACATCTTATCCTCCTGCCAGCCTCTGGCAAGCAATTGTCTCCTGTCTCCATGGCCTGGTCCATTCTGGGCACTCTTAAAATGGAATTGTGCAACTTGTAGCCTCTTACATCTGGCTTCTTTCGCTCAGCATGGGGTTTCCAAGGCTCATCCATGTTGCAGCAAGCATCTGCTCCCCATTCCTTTTCAGAGCTGAATGTTACTCCATTGAAAGGACACACCATACTTTGTTCATCCATTCATCAGTTGAAGGACATCTGGGCTGCCTCCACCCTCCAACCACTATAAATAGTGCCCTAGTGCAAGCACCTGCTTGAACGGCTATTCTCAGATCCCCTGGGTGTACACCCAGAAACAGAATTGCTGGGTCATATGGTATTTCTACACTGAACTTTTTGAGAAACCACCAAACTGTTTTCCACAGTGGCTATACTACTTTTTGTTCCCACCAGCAAGGAGTGGGTTTCAATTGTTCTGTGTCCTTCCCAACATTTGTTATTTTCCATTGCTGACACCCTGATGAATGTGAAGTGGTATCTCATTGTGGCTTTGATTGGCATTTCCATAATGACTAATTTTGTTGGGCATCTTTTCATGTGCTTGTTGGCCATTCATATATCTTCTTGGAATTTTCCATTATTATTGCCATCCTAGCATGTCTGAAGTGGTATCTCATTGTGGTTTTGATTTGCATTTCCCAGAGGGCAATTTCATTGATCATCTTTTCATGTGCTTGTTGGCAATTTGTGTGTCTTCTTTGGAAACAGCTATCGATATTTTGACAATATTAAAATTGACCTTGAAAATGCCATACTGATTTTTTATTTTCATCATCAGTATTTGCATAACATTTCCCCAGAATTAGCTATCCTTTTCTTCTTTTGAGAAAGAGGGGTCCCAATTTTTTGACAAATTTGTTGACTGAGGTCTCCACATTTGATGGTATTAAGGTCAAAAAAATTTTTTATTGGTGCATATTAATTACCTAGAATAGTGGGTTTCATTGTGGCATATTTTATATATAACATAATTTGTTCAATCTTCTTCCTCAGTCCCTCCCCTTTCCTTCCCTTCTCCCTCCCGAATCCCCTTTTTCTCCTTAATGGTCTCCCTTCTATTTTCATGAGATAACTTCTTTTTTCTTTCTTTCCCTCCAGCTTTCACATGTGAGAGAAAATATACAACACTTGTCTTTCTGATTCTGACTTATTTTACTTAACATGATATTCTCTAGTCCCATCCATTTTCCTACAAATGACATGATTTCAAGTCCTTCTTTATGACTGACTAAAACTCTATTTTGTATATATACATTTGGGAATTGAATCCAGTACCACTCCCCTACCGCAGAGCTATTTCTCCAGCCCTTTTTATTTTTTAATTTTGAGTCAGAGTCTCACTAAGTCACTGAGGCTGGCCTTGAACTTGCATTCCCCCTGCTTCCAGAGTCCCTAGGAATACAGGCATGTGCCACTACACCTGGCTATATATACATTTTATTTATCCATTGATCTGTTGACTGATACCCAGGCCAATTCCATACAAGTACACTGCTTTGAGATCTTTTGAATAAATAATGAGGAATGTTTTATCTGAATTATATGGCAGTTGCATTTTTAGTTTTCTGAGGAGCCTACATACTGATTTCCATGTTGGCTGTACTAATTTACATGTACACCAACGGCATATCAGAGCTCCTTTTTCCTGCATTCTCACCAGCATATACTGTTATTTGTATTCTTGATGATTGTCGTTCTGACTAGAATGAGATGGGATCTCAGTATGGTTTTGATGTGCATTTCCCTGGTGGCTAAAGATGTTGAACTTTTTTTTTCACATTTTTGTTGGCCATTTGTATTTCCTTTTTTTTTTTTTTTTTTTTTTTTTTTGAGAAACGTCTCTTTAGTTCATTTGCTCATTTATTGAATGGGTTATTTGTTCTTTGATTTTAGGGTATTTGAGTTCTTTATATATTCTGGATGTTAATCCTCTGTTGGGACAGTACCTAGCAAAGATTATTCTCCCATTCTGTAGGCTCTGTCTTCACAGTGTTAAGCTTTTTCATCTGATGCCATCCTATGTATTACTTTCTAAGCTTGTAAGAGTCCTTTTGAGAAAGTTGTTGCCTGCATCCATGTGTTATTATTCTGTTTCTCCTGTGTTTTCTTCTAGCAGTTGAAAAATGTCTGGAAACACACACACACACACACACACACACACACACAAACACACTCTTTTTCCTGAGACCTAGGCTGGCCTCAAACATATGATCCTCTTTCCTGAGCCTCCTGAGTAACTGGCATTACAGGCCTGCAAACCACCATGCCTGACTAGAATCATTTATATGTAAATTTTACATCATGCTCTTTTCATTTAACATTGTATCAAATGTGTTTCCAAGCATGCTACTACTGAAATGTTTATAAAGCTTCTTAGCAAAGGAAACAATTAATAACTGAGGAGAGAGCCTACAGATTGGGAGAAAATCTTTACCACATGCACCTCTGATAAAGCATTGGTCTCTAGAATATATAAAGAACTCAAAAAAGTTAACACCAAAAAAACAAATAACCCAGTCAATAAATGGGCTAAGGAACTGAATAGATACTTCATAGAAGAAGAAATACAATTGATCAATAAATATATGAAAAAGTGTTCAACATCTCTAGCAATTAGAGAAATACAAATCAAAACTACTCAAAGATTTCATCTCACTCCTGTCAGAACGGCAATCATCAAGATCACAGACAATAATAAATGTTGGCGAGGATGTGGGGAAAAATATACACTCATACATTGCTAGTTGGACTGCAAATTAGTGCAACAACTATGGAAAGCAGTATGGAGATTCCTCAGAAAACTTGGAATGGAACCACCATTTGACCCAGCTATCCCACTCCTTAGTTTATACCCAAAGGATCAGTATACTGTAGTGACGTAGCCACATCAATGTTTTTAGCAGCTCAATTCACAATAGCTAGACTATCAAACCAACCTAGGTGTCCTTCAATAGATGAATGGATAAAAAAAAAATGTGGTATATATACTCAATGGAATATTACTCAGCTTTAAAGAAGAGTGAAATTATGGCATTTGCCAGTAAATGGTTAGAATTGGAGAATATTATGCTAAGCGAAATAAGCCAATCTCACAAAACCCAAAGGATGAATGTTTTCTCTAATATACAGATCCTAGTTCACAATAAGGTGGTGGGCACTAGGAAAAAGTAGCGCTACCTTAGATTAGGTAGAGAGAAGTGATGGGAGGGGAGGAGAGGGGATGTGGGAATAGGAAAGATAGTAGGATGAAACAGACATTATTACTGTATGTTTATATGTGACTACATGACCAATATGATTCTATAACATGTACACTCAGAAAAATGAAATTATAACCATATATTTATGATATATCAAAATACATAAATGCATTCTATTGTCATGTATAACTACTTAAAACAAATTTAAAAATTTTAAAAAAGATTAGACCATAGCACTCATGGTTTTGCTTATTTCCTGTGAGTCTGGACATCTAAATTTTAGCTATTATAAATAATACTGCTCTAAATATCTTTTACATAAAGACATGCCTTCATTTCACATTAAATCCTTAGATTTCCCCAAAATCAAGTAACTAGAACAGAAGTCGGAACAATTTTAAGAATTTTGAAATATATTGCAACATTAGCGCAAAACATCTCAAAATGGGATTGAAGCCCTTTCTTGGGAATTCAAAGCATTTTGTTTCATTACTAACCCGGCGTGAAATAAACTGGGATTGTCACTCAGCTTCCTTGAA